AAGAAACGCCTTATCACAAATATTGCATTGAAATGGTTTTGAACCGGTGTGTATAATTTTGTGTGCTTTTAAATGTGATCTTTGATTAAACTCCTTCTCACAGGTATCACACTTATATGGCCTTTCTCTGGTGTGTATCTTTTTGTGTCTGATTAAATCTTTTTGAAGAAGAAACGCCTTATTACAAATATTGCATTGAAATGGTTTTGAACCGGTGTGTATCATTTTGTGTGCTATTAAATTTGATCTTTTAATAAAATCCTTCTCACAGGTATCACACTTATATGGCCTTTCTCCGGTGTGTATCTTTTTGTGTCTGTTTAAATATTTTTGAAGAAGAAACGTCTTATTACAAATATTGCATTGAAATGGTTTTGTACCGGTGTGTATCTTTATGTGTGCTATTAAATGTGATCTTAGATTAAACTCCTTCTCACAGGTATCACATTTATAAAATGTATTTTTTCTAGATTTTTTGCTAGGGTTTGATCTCTTGTTCGAATTCTTGCTTCTATTTAATTCAGAAGTATTTCTTACCATAATGACTGAAGAAACAAATGGATATCCTTCAATATTATCTCTTTCTATTTTAATATCCCTTTCAGATGTGTCGATTCCTTCCGACTTGAATAAAGTTCTAAAACAAAATAAAAAAATTATTCACTACATTAAAATAAAAACAATAATTACAGCTGCATGTTATAATCTTAAAGATAGTAAGGTATAGTTTTAAATTATTTTTTTAACAATACAAAATGCCTTCTACGTGTGTAAAAAACTTGAGTGTTCGATATGTCAAGGTAAAACTCAGTTTTATTCTGCTAGTTATTCTGAACAAAATTAAAAGAAATTGTCAAATTATAGATACTAAAACAAGATTCACTTGTGTAAATCTTCTATACAAATTTCACAAAAATGTATCACCTATAAAATAAATTGAGAGTACAATTCGACAACTTTAATATTCCAAACTTGATAATGTAATGTCTGAGTTAAAAAGTATTAAGATTGAAAACGAAAAGATAGTATCTGTGAATAAACGCTTTTCTGATTAATTATTTATTTGAAATGCAAATACAATGAAATCAAAAAATTTATTTTAGGTATACATACCAATTGATATTATTACTGGTATACCCTAAACATAAAATGAAAATTGTATCTTAATAGAGGAAGAAATTGGGAAAAAAACGAATACGGTATTTTATATACTCAAAGGTTAAAAAAGGATAAAATTCCAAAATGTTGGGCAGCCATGTTAATCATATAGCCGCCTCGATGTTCTGGGAGTCTGGCAGGTCAAGCACCTTCCTTGACGTTAGACGTAGTCACCCGGGTAGGCAATCCGACTAGTGACTACTACAATTCCGGCCGGCGTCGAAACCTCCAACAACGATCATCCGCACCGCTGCTTAATCCTACCTACCTATCGATTTGAGAACTGAAGTCAAATATATGACTCTTAAACCGCATACGATTTCGCGTCGGATAGCGGACGACGTGCTCCGCCACCCTCAGACGTCGAATAAGCGAAATTCACGAATAAAGTCAAACTCTTCGACGCAAATTATATACAAGCCTGTATATACCTAGTAATAACAACGCGAAGGCAGTGGAGTCCGCTGTACACTCTTTGTTTTGTCAGGACTCGTTGCGAACGAAGTGTGGCCTATAAATTTAGCGGAGAACTCGAATAAAGGACAAACGGGAAAGTGAGTGACGTTCTAAGACTCGACTCTCGACGAAAAATTAGGAAAAATCATTAAAACGGCGATGACTTCACGCTTTCCGCGACTGATTTCTTCGCCGCGGCACTCGACAAGAACGCGCGTGGTCTATAAATTTAGTGGGGAAGGCGAATAAGGAGCAAACGGGGAGATCGGATGTTTTGAAAAGGGGTAAAACTCGACATTTCCACAAAAACAGCAAAAAACAAGCGCGACAGCTGCGATGATTAAGCATGATTTCTCCGCCACGGCGGGCCTGCCGGCCACGAAGTGCGGCCCCGCACGGCATATAAATTTAGCGGGGAACGCGAATAAGATTCCAACGGCGCCCCAGGAGGCGTGTAAAATCGGCAAAACTAGAAATTTGAAGAAATTTTGAAAAAATTCAGAATAAGTGATAAGAAGGAGGGGATAACGCAGCGGCGTTATGTTTTTATACTATAGCACGATTAAAGATATTATCATATATTATGCAGGTTACTCAACGACCATATGCACATACACAACAAAAGTTGGGTTTAAACAGTTGATCAACTATGTGAGAATAACTACTAGCGCTTGTCATTTTATTTAGGGTGTTATAAAACGTGCTTATTTTTAATCAGGACAATGATATCTGCATTCAATAAAAATATGTATTTACATAAAAATCCGCGCCCTATATATAATATATTATATTATCATTGATTATAAATACTCTAGATAGCTCACTGCAGTACAAAATACGCTGCGCGCTGAATGGCGAGTAACGCTACGGCCTACGGTGCTCCGCGCGATATTTAGTTATGGCGTGTACCGCAATAATCGCTAGTATAGTTCATAGGAGGGATTAGTCTTGAATTTTTCACTGTAGAGACAAACGTATATATTGACCTATCTTGGTTTCAATTCTCGGAGCGTCTACAAAGACAATACTAGTATAATACTATACTGTAAACTTGGTACCTAACTTGTCGTTACACTGGCGCACTGCAAACGATTACAAAATAATAAATATTAAATACCTATCCATAATAATATAATCCTAGATGGGTGGCCTCCTTTTTGGCCAAAATTTACCCTTTCCATTTCGGCTAGTAGTACAGTTTTCTTTACAATTTACAATTATAACAACAGAACTTAACAATTTAATTAAATATGGTTGTATCCAGAAATGTGATTTTTTGATGAAAATCATTACCTACAACTGCTTGAAAAAATAATAAAATAAAATGATTTAACTTTTGATTATTACCATTGATACTAAATATTAGTATTATTATTACCTTTGTCAATGTAAAAAATAATGTTTGTATATAGTCTTCACTTTTCCATGTAAGTTGTAAGTAAAACGGTGACACCCCCTCCCCCATTAAATAGGTTAAATATTTATCTTTAAATCAGTCCCTAATTATTAAAATATATTAATTAGTTATTGCATAGTCATATTTATGTTTATAGTATGTATATTAGTATATTAGTATGTAAAGTTTTATTACAAATTAATACATTACGCATTTGCACATTATAGTAGTCATCATAAGCGTACTCACAGGGGGGTGGCCGGGTGGGCCATGGCCCACTCTGCGAGATGGACTGAAATTTGTATACATAGTCATATCATAATTTAAAGTTTAAACATCACGATTTTTGATTTTTTAAATCATAAGGTAGGTAAAAATAACATTGATACTCAATGATAACAAATAATAATAAATGTTATGTATTTAAAAATAAAATTGATAACATATTAGGTACCATTTCAGATTGCGGAATTGTATTTATTTAAAATTTAAAACTGTGTTGACAAATTAAAATATTACTTATTTAATTTTTAAAAAATAATTTTATTCGTTTCTATCATATATCAATGATGTATGCCTTAAATAGTGGGTGATTATAAGTAGGTAAATTAAAGTATGTAACATTTTCATTGTTTCTTCCATCAGAGTTCAGGTTTTTAATCTTTATTGACTTAGCCCACCCTGCCCCAAATGTCTGTGCACGCCTATGGAAGTCATTATCATCAATCATCATATATATTTTGTAAATTAAAATATTATTCCATAAATAAAAATATTATTATTATACCTGCAATAGACTTCACGTTACACTCAATGCGAAGTATTTTCGACTGTTTTAAATTATACCATTGATTATAAATAGTCGTATCATTAAACTATTTACTATTTATAATCTGTGCTTGTACGCTTGAACAAAATATTGGAATTATATTATATTTATTCTGAGTACACATGCGGAAATCTTGCGCATTACGGACGTACAAATGAACGATACTCGTTGTCCGTTGATCATGTAATTTTTTTAAGTCTTTGTTGTTATATTTATTACTTAAGTATCTTGTAATAACCAAAGAATTGTGTCTTGTTATGTTATTTTGAAATCATTTATACTTTTTATTGTCTACTATGTTGTTCTCAAATAATTAAAATGTCTAGTGACAAATGTGAATATTTTAACTGTACAAATACACGTAAAAATATATCAAATATAATATTTCATCCTTTTCCATCAAACGAAGAAAGGTCCAAAATATGGATAATTATAATTCTGGTAAGTAGGTTATTAACATTTTAAATTTATCTATAATATAAGTAAAATCTGCAATAATATGGAAAAACATTTTTTAAGTTAGGAAATATTAAACTAGAATGTCTAAGTCCTAAAAAGTTAAAAAAGAAGTTTGTATGTTCATCTCATTTCGAAAAAAATGCCTTTTCAAATCCCACAGACCCAAAATCACGACTAAACATCAATGCAGTTACAAACAAATATATAAGTAAGAAAAAATCATATTTTTGTGTGTTTTATTTTTGACACAAATAATATAAATTAAAAAATGTTAGATGAGTGAACAGATGATAATGTTCCCGAAACAAATACGACTGTTGAAAAATCCCCCATAAATTGGACATGGCAGGTATCAAATCAAAATACTACTAAAGGTTAGGTTACATATAATTATTATATATTTTAAATATATTTATAATCACGCACGGGTATCGTTACTAAGCACACGTGTTTTACTTCGCTCCCGAGTTATTCGTCGACAACTTTCTCCAAACTCAATGGATTTTATTCTAATTTGCAGTTATAAATAAATCCAAAAAACTAAGTTCTTGCCTACGTATGGTTATCGGGTTTACAGTCACCTCATTCGTGTCAAGTCTAAAAAAAGTAAGAAATTAATTACGATTATCGACTAATTAATTACCGCCTCAAGGCACCGCTCATCCGGTGACCTTTGGACAGTAGATAACCGATAGCGGCATAATGCCGCCTAATCAACTAATTAAAAATAAATCATCCAACGACCGCACAGCTATACAGGGCGGCTCAAAAGTCTCATTACCTACTATCAAAATCGTCAAAACGTCTACCTACAATAATTCAAACAATAACGGATCCGGTTGGACCGTACAAACCAAACATCCGTCTCCCCACCCAAAAGGGAACAACACAAGTGGTTCTTTCTTTACGCCAAACCGTTACGAGGTTTTAAAGGATGATGTCGAATCCAGCGAATCCATCGAAATGACCACCGAATCCGCTCCCCAACTACCTCCACCACCGCCAATCTTTATCACATCAACAATAGATTACACTGAGTCCTTTAAGCAAATAAAATCTTTTTCTGGCGATGAAGGGTTCGTATGCAAATCTACATCTAAAAATCTCAAACTATCTTTATATTCGTCCAACTCTTTTCGTAAAACAATCAAATTGCTAAATGACAGTTCCATCGAATATCACACATACGAGTATCAAGCGAAAGAAGACAGGCCTTATCGTGTTGTCTTAAAAAACCCCCACCACTCAATACCCACAGAATACATCTCTCAAGAATTAACTGAGCTCGGTTTCTCTGTAAGAAATGTCTCAAACATAGAAAAGCTACTGTTGAAGAAAATCCAAGCACTTTTACTGTCCTAAAACGTGACCTTAATCCTGAAATTAAAAATCCGGACATAATCAAACTTGAAACTCTGTGCTACTCAAAAATCAAGATTGAAGAACCCCATACCAGACGTGATCTCCTCCAATGTCATCGATGCCAAAACTATGGACATACTCGTTCATATTGTAACCGTGAACCAAGATGTGTCCGCTGTGGACAAGACCACCTCTCTGACATGTGTGAAAAAAGCTAAGACCTACCAGCTACTTGTGCTCTATGCGGTGAAGGTCACCCATCAAACTATAAAGGATGCACGGTGCATAAACAACTTAAAAAATCAAGAACCACAAAAATCGCAGTCAACGCCTCACAAAGCCTTCAATCACAGATGCAACAAATCCCAGCTCCAATCAACCAAACAACTTCGTTCAAGACTCATCATCATCATGGGTTCAAGACTCACCATCATCATCCGGGAAAAAGGGAATAAGTACAAAAACACTGTTTTGAGAAAACTAAAAAAAACTATCTACAACATTCAAAAGTTAGAATTATTTCTCAATATTTTTGACATAAGTTTTTGAATTGGCTCTTCAAACATGGGTTTTCTCGAAACTTAAAATATTTGATTAACTTTGGACTTATAAGTCAAATAGCTGACTTATTCCCTTTGTAAGGTATTTATTTTGACTTATTCCCTTTAGCACATGACTTATTTCTTTTGGACATCATTTATTTTGACTTATTCCCTTTTGCACATGACTTATTCCTTTTGGACAGCATTTTTTTTTTGGACTTATTCCCTTTACCATATAAGTTATTACTTTTGAGTAGTTTTTAATTTGACTTGTTTCCTAATACACATGACTAATATTAATTATTATTCATTGGTGCAACAAATTATTGACATAGGTATAAACTATTAGTCAATAAATTATTAATTATTAATAATAGACTAATACTGTAGAATATGTTTCTCTTAAAATCAGGGCATAGTGGATATAACTCTTATTAAACTGGTACATAATAATATTATCTAAGATAGTATTGATAGTAAATACAACTACTACCTATAATTACTTTAATTAATATACAAATCTTAAAATTATAGACACCTAATCAATGTTATAAACTGTGAACAGTATGCAATGTGTTCAACATAAAACAATATTGTTAAATCTTTTTAATTTTTAAAATGCTTAAATATTAAAAAAAAAAAAACAACTTCAATAGAAAATAAAAATTTTTCTTTTGTAATATCAATGCTAAAATGAATGTGTAAATAAACTACTTCATGCTTGTAAGTCAAACAAAAATAAAAATAAATATTCAAACAAAAATAATAAGAAATAGAAACCTTAATACAAAATTATAATAAATTTTAATCAATCTTCATCTTCATCAGAGTTAAGTATAAGATCATCTACTTGGGTTTCAGTAGGGAGATCTTTATAATATGAATGATAAACTGAAGGTATATATTTTAATAAAGATAGTAAGTCTTTCTTTTTTTCTACTGAAATGTTGGGAGGGTTTTCATTACAAAGAGGAATTATTAAGTTCTCAAGTGTTGTTGTATTCTCTGTTGCTCGACGGGAAACTGGTTTTGTCATATTTATCACATGGAAGTTTTCATCAACAGCTAAAGTGTTTTTATAGTATACTTTATATGGGTCTTTTTTCTCAAATTTAAACCATTTAATTGATCTCCACACAACTTTATCTCCATTTTCATTTCTTTTTTTCATCATCAATGTTTTTGATTTGTAAACATTTCCAAAGTCTTTGAAATCTTCTCTTTCCATTTCTATTACTTTAAATGGTCTTTTGTTTCCTGTCATTCTTATGAGCTGAGCCCAATCATGGGGATGATAAATAGGTGAATCAAAGTGCTTCTTTTTTTTTTCAATTTGAGCATGATCTGAGTCACACTCCATGCGGGTGTGACCAGGGACTAAAAATTTGTGTTCTAAGACTTGAATGGAATTTGAATGGTATAATGAAAATATACACATGGCTAAAAATATGCTATTTTTATTTTGTCCAGGACAAGAATCACTGTATAGAATCACATGTGTTATTTCAGATGGTAGGTTTATTAAATAATGAAATATGTTTGATCCTATTTCATTTGCACCTCTTTTAGACTTTGACTCATCCCAAACATAGCATGTTGCTTGACCATTTTTCATATTATGGACAGTAAGGTTAAATGTCCACAGTTGTCTTTTATAAAAAGCGATTGAAGTTTCAAGCCACGGCGTTGGTAAACATTGCTGAAGATCAAATGCTACAACTAAAATTTGATTTTCATTTTTCATTCTTTCCTTGTCCGTTCTTTTAGTTTCATATGCTAATTCTGCGAGTTTGTGGTGGTTTTCTTGTTCTTTAATTAATTTTTCTTTTTCAACATCATCACTATGTTGAATCTTCATTTTATAAGCATCACAAGTACTGCAAGTATCTTTTTTTGGTTCTTTAACTTTAATATTTGCTTCATGCATTTTATATTCATATATTTGCCTACTAACCGGATTTTCAACTGACTCTTTGTACATTTCATAACATTTATTTAAAGTATAATGAGACGGTAAATAGAGTTTTGAGGTTTCTTTTCTACAATAATGACTTTGATATGTGGGTAATGAATTTATATGATTCTTCACCCTTTTTAGATCTTCAGGCGTTTTTTTATTGGCAGGAATATGACAACCACGTTTATCTGGAGTAGTGGTAGAACAATCTGATTTTTTTTTTTTTTGACAAACATTACAAATAAATTTGTTAGTTTCACCGAAAACTTTGATGAAACAACTTTTGCAAATTTCTATCATTTTTCCATTGATAGGCACATGGTACTTAAAAGTGACCTGTCTGTCTTTTTGTTTTTTAGGCGCAGTACACTTTTTTTTTTGAGCATCTTTTGGCTTAAACTCAATCAGCCCAGAAATATAAGTTGCCCGTCTATTTTTATCACACATAGACCAATATTTTTTAAACAATAATGATATATGTTCAGTAGATACTTTGAGTGAACACTTTTTACGGCAATTATTGAGCACTTGGAACTTTCTTTCTGGTACTTGTTTACCACTTTGTGTGGTATATGCTTGACCAAGATTTCGCTTCTCTTTCCTTTCAGCTCGAATTTTTCTTGACTTAGGATATGACCTTACATTATGTGGGTTCACATAAACATTCATATTTTGATAACTACTATGTACTGAAATGTGGTCAACCTCAGTAACACACTGGCCAGTGGGAACAAATGATGGATCATCAATTTCACTCTAAACATAAGTTTGAATTTTTTAATAAATATGATAATTCAAGTTAATACTAAGCATAATTAAAACATACATTACTATGATCACTACTAGGTATTACAATTTTGTCTAGTTCAATAGCAGCCTGGTCACAAGAAACAAAATCTGCTGGGTCATCCACTTCAAGCTAGAAATAAATTTGAAATACTAAGTATTAAAAATATAATATTTCAAGTTAATACTAAGCATACTTAAAACATACATTACTATGATCACTACTAGGTACGAAAATGTTGTCTAGTTCAATAGCATCCTGGTCAGTGGAAAAAAATGTTGGGCCATCAACTTTAAACTAAAAATAAATTTCAACATTTTTGATATTTAAAATATGTTCAAGTTAATACTAAGCATACTTAAAAAATACCTTATTATGATCACTAATAGGTTCTAATATGTTGTCTATTTCAATAGCATCCTGGCCAGTAGAAAAATATGCTGGGTCATCCACTTCAAGCTAAAAATAAATTTGAAAAACTAAGAACTAAAAATATAATATTTCAAGTTAATACTAAGCATACTTAAAACATACATTACTATGATCACTGCAAGGTGCTAAAATGTCATCAAGTTCAATAGCAGCCTGACCAATGGAAAAAAATGTTGGGTCATCAGCTTTAAACTAAAAATAAATTTCAACATTTTTTATATTTAAAATATGTTCAAGTTAATACTAAGAATACTTAAAGAATACCTTATTATGATCACTAATAGGTACTAAAATGTTGTCTATTTCAATAGTATCCTGGAAAGTAGAAAAATATGCTGGGTCATCAACTTCAAACTAAAAATAAATTTGAAATACTAAGAATTCAAAATATAATATTTCAAGTTAATACTAAGCATACTTAAAACATACATTACTATGATCACTGCAAGGTGCTAAAATGTTATCAAGTTCAATAGCAGCCTGACCAGTGGAAACAAATTTTGGATCTATGTCTTTATCAGAAACGTTCCACTTAAAAATAAGTGAATAAATAAATAAATCATTGCTTAATCATGTATTTAGGTAATATTAAAAATGTAAGAAATCAAGTAAGCACATACTCATTTAGATAATTAAAATATTTGCATACATAGATAAGTAAAAAAAATGCAACTTCCAACAAGTACCTATCACCTAGGTTATTCTAATTTTTACTGTATTTAATCAGTAACTTAAAATATATTTTATATAATCAAAAAACTTACTGAATTTAAGTTCTGTTCATAATGTGAGTCATGTTTAGAAAGCCACATTCTACATTTTTCTTTGTAGGCCATAGGAGTAGAAATTAAAACAGAACTTGATGTAAATTCATCCCTCGTGGTATAACTATTATCAATCTATAATAGTTTACAATAGAATCATAAAATAGTAAAAAGGCTTAAATCTATTATGTTTCTGAAAACTCACTTTTCTGATATTCTAAATTGATCATAGTCTAATTTCCGTTTAACATTAATCGATTTTTTGCTCAAATTTTCAACTAATCCAAGAGTTCTTTTGGAAATAAAATTATGCTTAGTTTTTTTATCCATAATTGTAGTACTTTATTAACGTTATAAAGGTACTAATTAGTATAAAAATTATAACAACACAACACAACATAAGAGCTTTAAAAAAATAAAACAATAAAACTAATTGTAAATAAACATGAATAATAATAAAATATTAACAACACAATTATCACGCGCGGTTTTTTGTTTACTTAGTGTAGTAATTGTTA